GAACAAAAACAAGACCCCGTTTCTACTAAAAATAGAAATCCTGAGGCAAGAGAATCACTTGAGCCCGAGTTGGAGTTGCTGTGAGCTATGACGCCACAGCATTCTACCCAGGGTGACAGCTAGAGACTCTGTCTCAAAAAAAGGAAAAAAAAAAAAAAAAAAGACAGGAGTTAAATGGTCTGGATCTGGAGTCAGACAGCCCTGAGTTTGAAACTGCAGGCCTCTCACTTACTGTCTAACCACTGTGTTTGCATATCAATGTCAGAAAGCCATAGTGAGGATATAGTGAGATTTGAGCTTGAATAAGCATAAATGAGAGTTTACTATACTAAGTTTGTGTGTATATGTGTGTATCTTAGTAAGGCTTATTTTTCTGTTTCTTTTTTCGTTTCCTTCCTTCCTTCTCCCTTCTCTGCCCTTCCCTTCCCTTCCCCAGACTCTCACTTTGTCACCCTGGATAGAGTGTGGTGGTGTCATAGCTAACATCAGCCTCAAACTCTTGGGCTCAAGCGATCCTCTTGCCCCAGGGACTAGAGGCACTCATCACAATGCCTGGCAATTTTTAGAGATGAGGTCTCGCTCTTGCTCAGGCTGGTCTTCAACTCTTGAATTCAGGCAATCCACCCACCTAGGCCGCCCAGAGTGCTGGGATTTCAGGCACCAGCCACTGAGCCCAGAAGCAAGGCTTATTTTTCATTAGCAATTGATGGAAATGAGTAAAAATAATTTGAGGAAAAAGAGAATTTATTGGCTCATATGACTAAAAAGTCCAGGGCTGGATGGGCTTCAGGCTTAGTGTTAGTCAGGTGATCCAATCCATGTCATCGGACATAACCTTGCTCTCTCCAGCTCTCTTAGGTTATTCTTTGTTGATACTGTTCTCTGGCAGGTTTTGTCCATGTGGTTATAAGGTAGATGCCCTCAAACTCCAGATTTCTACCTTATCTTTTCACAATTCTACCAGGAAAAGTGTTTTTTCAATAAAACCCTGGGAAATGGAGTATCACTGGTTCTGAGACAAGACTCTTATCTTCTAATCCACATCACTGGCTACAGATGCTGGGCTCTGGTTGGCCAGGCCTGGGCCGTGTATTCACCCAAGTGGAGTTCATTCTTCTCAAACCACTGACCTTAAGTGGGAAAGAGGTGGTAGTAGTAGGGACATTGGGGTGCTTTTACTTATTTTTGAGACAGAGCCTCAAGCTGTCACCCTGGGTAGAGTGCTGTAGCATCACAGCTCACAGCAACGTCCAACTCCTGGGCTCAAGCTATTCTCCTGCCTCTGCCTCCCAAGTAGCTGGGACTACAAACGCCCACCACAATGCCCAGCTATTTTTTGGTTGCAGCCATCATTATTGTTTGGCGGGCCCGGGCTGGATTCGAACCTGCCAGCTCAGTTGTATGTGGCTTGCCTTAACCGCTTGAGCCACAGGCGCCGAGCCATGGGGTGCTTTTATTAGAAAAAGGAGTAAGCATATGCTGGGCAGGCAAAAACAAAAACAAAAACCTTCTTTCACGGCACATAAGACTCAGTGGTGTGCCTGGTGTAGGAAGTGCTAATAAATGTGAACTCTCAGGCCTTTTCTTCATCTTCTGGTGCGTGGTCATACTGAACGGTGATGCTGTATTATCTTCCTTTAAAACTTGTTTATCTTCCTTTAAAACTCACTTTACATTTACCTCTCCTAAAATGGTATCCTTGGGTGGCGCCTGTGACTCAAAGGAGTAGGGCACCGGCCCCGTATGCTGGCGGTGGCAGGTTCAAACCCAGCCCCAGCCAAAAACTGCAAAAAAAGGTATACTTACACAATATTAGACTTGATTTCTGCATATTTCCATTATAATTCCCTATGAACCTTCTTCCCGAGCGATTATAGGCCTATCTTCTTTCCTTCTCACTTTCTCTCCCTCCTATGCCCTATGTTTAGGAACAGCTATTTACTAAACAAGAGGGTTATTGAGTATCTATGAAGAGTCTCAGAACTACGGTGCGGTCTTCTGCAGTTGCTGTAGCATCCAGTGATTTCCATATCCTTTTGAGCCTGGAAGACTGGTCTGATCAAGCCATTCAAAATCTCCTAATTATCATTCTAAATTTTATACATTCTTAGATACCAATAGTTAATAGCTAATAGTGTACCGATAGATCTACACTGTTAGTAGCCAGGTGGTACTGTGCCATATCATGCAAGGAATTGGCAATAAAGAAAATAAAACTGCTCTTTTGAGAACTTAACCATAATATCAAGACAATTTTGAGGACAGATACATAAAACCACCATAAACAGAAAACTGACTCCTGACCTGAGGTGGAGAGAAGGCACTGAGTGGCAAAGATAAAGGATTCTAGAGGCCAAAGTAGAGGAAGGTAGAGCAGGATCAATCATGAAGACCCAACCAAAGGTCTGAGGACAGTGTCTGAGGTCTGAGGCCCTTCCTAATGTGGAAGAATTTGCTTCAGAATCTCTTAGCTTGGTGATTTTGAATATTTGATTTGTCTAAGTCCCCTGTTCAGATACTGTAAACACTACACAAACCTCTGAGAATTATCTGGCTTCACTGGTGATGTAAACCTGTCTATGGCAGCGATTTTCAACCACCATACCCTAACACACTAATATACCATGACAGGATCTTAGGTGTGTTGCAAAACAAATTTTTTTTTTAAGAACTCAATATGTGTTTGACATTTTATTTGTGCAAAAAATTTTAAAGACCATTTAAATTATTTTCGAAAAAAAGTTCAGAGCAGTGAGTATATTCTTTTTACTGTTTTTTAAAAAATCAACATAATTTTAGCATGCTGCAGAAGTTTAACTATAGGTTCAAGGGTACCGTGAGATAAAAAGGTTGAAAAACACTGGTCTAAAGTGAGGGAAAAGACTGGTCATGTGGATTCCTGCAGTTTGATTGTGGTGACAATCTCTTTTTTAAAAATCAATTTTATTGGATATATTTGAGGTTTACAATATGTTAAGGGATACATATAAATAGTAACATGGTTACTGTAGTAAAGATTAATGTGTCTATCGCGTCATATAGATTCTTCTTGGTGACAAGAGCAGCTAAAATCTACTTAACACAACTCCCGAAGACAATACAATTTGATTAACTTTAGTTCTCATGTTATACATTAGATCTCTAGACTTATTCATTCTAAGTAAAGGATGGTACTTTGTATCCTTTGACCTACAACTATTTATTTCTGCTTCCTCTATCTGTGGTAACCAGTTTCATTCTCTATGTATTGATTAAAAAAAGTATTCTATGTGTGAGATGATGTATTATTTTTCTGTATCCAGTTTATTTCACTTAGCATAATGTCCTCCAGGTCCATCCATGTCATGGCAAATGGCAGAATCATCCTTTTAAAAGAATGAATGATATTCCATAGTGTGTGCAGTTATTTTTATCAGGTGGTGATTTCATTTTCTTTGGGCATATACTCAGAAGAGGGATTGCTGGGTCACATGGTACTTCTATTTTTAATTTTAGAAACTTCCATACTGTTTTCCAAGATGGCCCAATCTATAATCTACAATCCCACCAACAGTGAACCAGCACTTCCTTTTCTCCATACCCTCACCAACATTTTTTATGTCTGATTTTTTTTTTTTTTTGAGACACTCACTCTGTCACCCTAGGTAGAGTGCTGTGCCGTCACAGCTCACAGCAACCTCAAACTCCTGGGCTCAAGCAATTCTCTTGTCTCAGCCTCCGTAGAGCTGGGACTATAAGGCCCCTGTCACAATGCCTAGCTATTTTGAGATGGGGTCTCCATCTGGCTCAGGCTCGTCTGATTTGGTGAGCTCAGGCAATCTACCTGCCTGGCCTCCCAGAGTGCTGGGATTATAGGCGTGAGCCACCACATAGGTCTAATCTTTTTTTTTTTTTTTTTGAGACAGAGCCTCAAGCTATCCCCCTGGGTAGAGTGCCGTGGCTTCACAGCTCACAGCAACCTCCAACTCCTGGGCTCAAGCGAGTCTCCTGCCTCAGCCTCCCAAGTAGATGGGACCACAGGTGCTTGCCACAATGCCTGGCTATTTTTTTTTTTTGGTTGCAGCCGTCATTGTTGTTTGGCGGGTCTGGGCTGGATTCGAACCCGCCACCTTAGGTGTATGTGGCTGGCGCCTTAGCCACTTGAGCCACAGGCGCCAAGCCCATAGGTCTAATCTTTTTGATAATAGCCATCTTTATGGATATGAGGTGATATCCCATAGTGATTTTAATTCACATTTCATTCATGATTACTGATGTTGAACACCTTTTGATATACTTGTTGGTCACTTTAATGTCTTCTTTGGAGAAATGTCTGTTCAGGTTCTTTGTCCATTTTTTAATTGGATTATTTATTTTTCTGTTATTGAGTTGTAAGAGTCTATTTCTTATTGAAAGTTAGTCTACTGGAATTATAGTTTTATAGCTCCGTTTTATGAACCTCATTATTGTAAAGTCTGACCTTGAGAAATGGATCTGCTTTCTTTATAACGAAAAAATCCAGTTCCTAGGTAGGCTGATAGATCCCTGATCAAAGTAAATTCTCCAGGGTAATGACTGCTCCCCATGAGATCTCTTAGGACAGCCTATTGGTGTTTCCTCAGACAAACCTCTAATTCTCTATGCCAAATCATCATCACTGTTTTCTATAAACAAATATGATAAATAAGGAGGAATGAACAAAAACTTAATAGGTTTTTTAATTGTAGATGATACTTAAATATTAAGAAAGCTAAAATTTAAAATGTGTTAACCAGGTTTTTCTATACATTATATTTTACTTTTCCAAGAACAGTTGCTAGAAGGAAGGAAAAGTAACTTACTATAGTCTCTGAGACTCACTGCCTTCTAAGGCCAGCAGAGCAAAGAACTAAAGAAGCAAGTGTCCCATCTGCACGCCTCTAGCTCTGTCCTTTTTTTTAATACCTGAACTGTTTCTGAACAACAAATGCAAATTAGGTTTGGATATAAAAAGCTAGATAACCAACCCAATTCAGGATTGCGTTTCATTTAAGGAACCCTAACACAGAATTACCTCTTATTTACAAGGATACAGTGGTAGAAGGCAAAGATCACACATAAATGTCATTTGCTTTCTCTGAGCCAAGGTACAGCTAGTATAAACTCATTTGTAAAATGAGGGGATTTGGTTGGTCCATCCATTAAGTTCCATTCAGCCTGGAAAGCTAGTTTCAAAGCTTGGGTCTTCCATGCTGTAAGGACTTGCTCTCTCTGCTAAGATGGATACAAAAAGAAAAGTCCGTCATATTGTGAGACCAACCTCCTGATATAAACAATATGCAGAGATTGATAAAGTACAAATTTGAAATGTATAAATACTGTAAAACTGTGGCAAACTGTAGTCTTAAACACATAAACCAGATATGTTCCCATGGGGATATCAAATTTGAGGGTAAGCCCAGTGAGTTACTTCCTAAGTCCTGAGAGTCCATATTCTGCATCCATCATGTCTCTCTATGACATATTTTTTTCTAGGTCAATTGGACAAGAAAATTTCTTGTCTCATGAAAGTGCTAAAACACTTTTAAAAAAAGCATTTGGAAATTATGATTCAAGGACTTGAAACCCTAATGTTACAGGCAAAGCCTCATTTCTACGGAATATAAAACACTCTGTTTCTTCCACTTCTAATAGCTCATCAAGAGAAGCCACTACTAAATCATGTTCCTGAAGCATTTCCGGGTAGCGGGACACTGCTCGCTCGATCCTTGCCGAACGCCGAACAGGAGTGATAAGCTTCATGTCTTGCACTTCTGGCATCCCGTTTATTCTGAGGGCAGCAAAAGAGATGCATTCAAGACCTTATCACTTAAAAGATTCTATTTATTATTTTTTATTATTCCATAATTAAACATGACAGACATTTCAAAGCAGGTTGATGATACAAAAGATGTTGAAAGCATCTCTTGTCTTAAAAGATGCTTAAGGTGAGACTTCTAGGATGTACTGGGGGTGTCCATCTACTCTTGGATGGTGTGACCACAGGGATATATTGAATGAAGTGTGAAATGTGGTTTTTATTTGAAGTCAGCTACTTGGCAATTGGTATTTGTTTAATCTATAAACTTTTATAGGTTTTGAGGAAATTGGGCCTAATCCCAAATTTGTTTGTACTAAAGAATTCTAAGATTCTTTCTAGCTTTGAGAGTTAATTATTCAAAAAGCATTTTTTAAGATGGTGGACCAAACCATTAATTGAAGCTAGCAAAAGTTGGGCATCTTCCTTGTAAGCCTGTAAATGCATTCCAATAGAGAGTAGCCCGGAGAATAGGATGCAGAGAGCATGTCTGTTCCACAATTCACAAAACCACTGATTACATTACCTTAAGTGTAAAATTAGCAGGCAGGATCTGCTAATAAGCTGTCATAATAAACTCTACAGCAGGCGTCCTCAGAGCCCACCTAGGACATTTATTTATCTGGCCTGCAGGGTGTTTTTGCCACCGCTGCCTGTCCTACTTAGCAGCTGATTTGTCCCAGGCCCGCAGTCCGGCCCTCCAGTGGTCTGAGGGACAGTGAACTGGCCCCCTGCTCTAGAGCCTTTAAGAGGTGGTTTTCAGATCAACTGTTTTCATCCACCCATGAGCTAACCGCAGTGGAGAAATGGCTTGTCTGAGAGAGATTAGGCCTGGAAGAGGCCCAGCTGTGCTTTCCAGGGAACTGAAAAACAGAACTGTTATCTTGATGCTCTGGTTTGGAATTTGCCTTTCTAGATCATGAATAGAGAAGAGTAATGCTATACTAACATTTTAGAAAATGATATTGACATCCTGTCACAACTTCTAAAATTACTATGGATTCTGCCTTAAACTTACTCTTTTTAAAAAGCAAAATGCCTCTGATATTATGAGCAGCCTCATAGTCAACTGCCCTCCTTGTTCTTATAGGGCTATTCACCATCACTTCCCTCCTACAGCTAGAGTTTGTTCCCACTTGGGACTTTGTCCTCTGTCCTCCCGTTTGAGCCCCCATTTGGGCTCACAGGAAAGGTGGGAGGGACTTGCAGGTGCAGGAAAAATGAGAGTGAAGAGGTAGGACTGATTCCAGGAAGGAGGGAGCAAAACCATTCCAATACTCCTCCGGAGGCTGGCAGCACCTTCCTCACTACAGGTCCAGTCTCATCATGGGTGGTGGGAGGGACTGCTACATGTACAGAGAGAAAAGATACAGACCTTCCCATCAATATCCAACCTCCCCTCACCCTTAGCTCCTAAATGCCAAAGACAGGCTATGCTGCCCGGACCACATATGAAGCAGCAATATCTACTAATATAAACTGCTGTTATTCCAGATCTGGGAAGGAGAAATTGAGAACTAGATGAGAATTATGTCTATAAACACAAAGCCTGCTTTAGAGTTTGCTTACCTAGGGATTGAAGCAATCTGTAATTTGATACCAAGATGATTATCTTGTTCTGCCTTGGTTATTTGGGGTGTTGCTGCAACTTGTTCCTTCTCTTTTGGAGAGAGACAAGACTTTATAGATTCTGACTTCTTGGTCAGTTCTTCCACTGATGTTATATTAGTTTCAGCAGCTAAAGAGTCAGAAGTAATTCATGTGTATGCAAGGTCAAGAAGGAAAGTAAGATATGGCAATTCAATGCTTAAGTTAAAAATCAATTAAATAAAAAAAATACATAAAATGATTTCCCAGTGATCTTTATAGACTCCATATACTAAATAAAGAATAACTGATTTGAAATGAGGCTTATAAACTCATTTTTCCTGGTATACCAGGCTACCCTCCTAATACCGGTTCAATGTCCAGTCTAGACAGATGAAGACAGATCTTTTATATACTTTCTACACTCACTCTGAACACACCTCCATCTCCTATTCACTTCCAAGAGAACTCTCTTAGGGACCAACCACTGGCTTTCCATCCTTACATTATATGTTGGGTCAATTTTCTTGACTTACTAGGTTTAATTCACTTGACCTTTGAAACTCCTCCCTATCCAGGGAAGACTACATGGTTACTACCTTGGAAAGTGGGTGTAAAGCATCTGCACTGACATAGTTTCCATAGTAGTGGGTTATTTAGATGTAATTTCATATGACTTGATTTTTCCCCAGTTAAATTTACTCTTAAAGGAAAAAGATTTGTCCTCTTCTAGGATAATAAAAATCCATTTTATTTTCTAAAGATAGGGTTTTCTTTCTGTTCATGTAACAAGTATCATATGCAATTATAATGTCACTCACTGTGTCTGGCACAGTATTTCTCATAGAAGTGTCCCCTAAAGCAGCAGTCCCCAACCTTTTTGGCTCAGGGACCAGTTTTGTGGAAGACAATTTTTTTATGGGCTGGGGGTCAGGGGGAAGGAAGGGATGGTGTAGGAGGTGGAGCTCAGGTGATGATGTTTATGGCCTGGTTCCTAATAGGCCACAAACTTGTACTGGTCTGCAGCTCTAAAAGTTCTGACCAATGATAGTAATGGTTAACAAAGTGAAGAGATTCCTGAGCTGGCTATTTTTAAAGAGATAACATGAATTTGTAATCATATAAATAAAAATCTACCTAGAGTTTTACTGGTATAAAGTACACTAGTCTGGTGTTGTGTACACTGAAATCCCTGACTTTAGCCCGGTACAATTCATCTATGTAGCCAAAAACACTTGTACTCTCTAAATTTTGAAATAAATCAGCTGATGACAATGGCTGAAAGGGCCAGGCCAGGCGGCGCCTGTGGCTCAGTGAGTAGGGCGCTGGCCCCATATATTGAGGTTGGTGGGTTCAAACCTGGCCCTGGCCAAACTGCAACAAAAAAATAGCCAGGTGTTGTGGTGGGTGCCTGTAGTCCCAGCTACTTGGGAGGCTAAGGCAGGAGAATCACCTAAGCCTAAGAGCTGGAGGTTGCTGTGAGGTATGACACCACGGCACTCTACGGAGGAGACTGTCTCTAGGAAAAAAAAAAAAGAAAAGGCAAGGCCATGGAAATTAAAGAGTAAGAGGTATTTCAGGGGACTTATCATTCTTTTCTTTTTTTTCTTACATGTTCCTGGATGATTTTTTATTTGTCAGTAGATGAAATGATATAAATACTAAAATAACAGTACCTTCTGTGGTTCTGTTTGGATCTTGTAAAATATTAACAACAAAGTCTCGCAACTCTTGTATTGGCTGGAAGAAAAGAAGAAAATATATGAACAATATTAAAAACATTCATGGAAAAATTTGCTAAGAAACTTTAATAATTAATCAAATAATTTTTTTATAAATAAAAATGTTTTCTTTTTAAGAGGGATTTTACCTAACAAATGCAATCAGTGTAACCTGGTTCTCCGTACCCTTAATGATTCCTCAAAAATAATAATAAACAAAAGTTTTCTTTTTAAATCTCCTGTCTAGCTACAAATATCTTGTCTGGTTTTCAGTTTTAAAGCTTTGTGGGTAAAATAAAGAAACAGAAAATTTTAGTTAAGTGCTGGTATACTTGATCTTAATGAAGAGATGTGTTTAAAGTTATTTATAATGTAATTCCTATAAATAAAATTATATTTTCTATTGCTTTGTATAATACCCCTGAATATGTATTCTCACACAAAAATTTGGGCCAAAAGATTACAACTAGCCATATAGAAAATGCATCACATAGTTTTAGTATTCATATTATTTATTTTTATTATTTTTTGAGACAGGGTCTTGCTCTATAGCCAGGGCTAGAGTACAGTGGTGTTATCATAACTCATAGGAGTTTCAAACTCCTGGGCTCAAGTGATTCTCCTTTCTCAGCCTTTAGAGGAGCTGAGACTACAGTCATGTGCCACCATGCCCATTATGTTTTTCTATTTCTTTTGTAGAGACACGGCCTCACTCTTGCTCAGGCTGGTCTTGAACTCCTGGCCTTAAGCTTGGCTTCTGCTTTGGCCTCCCACAGTGTTAAAATTATAGGTGTGAGCCATTGCATCTGGCCCTTAATTTTGTTTTTTATTATAAAAGTCATATACCTCATTACAGAAAAACTGAACAATAAGTTAAACTTAACAAGTGAAATCACCCCTAATCTCATTACCCAAATACAATCTTTGTTAGCATTTTGGGCAATTTTCTCCAGCTTTTCCTTTCTTTCTTCTTTTACTTGATAACATACCTTTAAATAAATTTATAGAAAAGTAATTTTCTGATAAAATTATCTGAGATAGCCTTCATTTTTTAAAGTATGTAAACCATGCCATTAAGCAGAATATCATAAAGTGATCTGTATTTTCCCAAAGAAACATTATATTTGGAGGCCTGTCTTCCTGACCTGGGATTCTGTATCAAAAAACAATAGATATAACTGATAATAAAGCATAAAAGCAAAGATTTCCATACATTTTTATAAAATCTAAAATGGAATTATGCTACAAGCTTAATGAATGGAAAGAGATGTATAGAATAAACTGCAAAGAATCTGAATTATATAAAACATTCATCAAATGTATCTTACATTTTTAAAGATGGTGGATTGAATATCCATTTATTTCTAATCCCTTTGAGAATATATTGAAATGGTAATGAAAGGGTTAAAAAGAGGCAAATTTTGGAAGTTGGAATATGGAAAGAAAGAGAGGTAACCAAGCAGACCAACTTGAGAGAGCTGACTCCTAAGCTGGTAGTATGGCTCAGAAACACCACAGGGCTTCTGAAAGGCTCAGAAACAGGTGGCGGAGCCCAAATCAGGAGGACTCTTGAACATCTTTCAAAAAACTGTCAGTCCTCCAAATCTACCTTGCACCTCAAATCACTCTGTACTCCTGGAAGTCTGGTGACTGGGTCCGAATGGATCTAATACCCTTCAACCTAACAGAAAATGGGGATATATTCTCCAAGTCTCTAGGGGACGTCATGCAAGACTAGGGATGAGGTGCCTACTAAAAAAAGGGGCAGAATTAAAGTTTCCATGTTGAGAGTTGAGATTCCCAGCTCTCTTATTCCCTACAACACTGGCAGGCTGGGTCCTAGCTCTCAGGAAGCTAGAAAATTTGACCAATGTAAGAGGAAAAGACCTAAAGATATTGATAGTGAAGGTTTTCTAACCAATCAACTCAGCCAGCTCACCCTGCAGTGAAGCCACATCTGTGTGTCTATAAGCTATAATTTAATAAGCTGTTTCAAATCCACCCCGTATATGCAAATAGTGCAGTTTTGCCAACATCTGAGTAAAGCCTTTAATGAATAATAGACAACAAAATAAAATAAAACAAATGACAACGAGAGATAAAGAGAAAGGTGGGGTGGGGTAGGGGATAATGAAAGAAAAAAAGAAAGAAAAAAGAAAACAAAAGCAATGGAGAAGAAATAGGCAACCTAAGAAGAAAACTTGATATTGGCTCTAGGAACCAAGGGGCTCACCCAACTTAAGTACATAAAAGGAAGCTGAGGGAGACAGTTAAAAGAGATCCTGGGCGGTGCCTGTGGCTCAGTGGATAGGGCGCTGGCCCTATATACTGAGGGTGGTGGGTTCAAACCCAGCCCCTGCCAAATTGCAACAACAAAAAAAATGGCTGGGCATTGTGGCGGGCGCCTATGGTCCCAGCTACTCGGGAGGCTGAGGCAGGAGAATCACTTAAGCCGAGGTTGGAGGTTGCTGTGAGCTGTGACGCCTTGGCACTCTACCAAGGGCAATAAAGTGAGACTCTGTCTCTTTAAAAGAAAAAAAGAGATCCTGCAATGACAGCTGATGAAGACTTGTCCAGCCTGAAATAAACCTCCAGGGTTCAGTAGAAAGGTCTTTACGAAAAAGAAATCAATAGACTATCTGATGCTTTGATACTATTGAGAAAATTAGAAATTAGAGTTTGAGAATTAATTATATCATAAATACTCAGAAAACTAAGCAAAGGCAAAACCACACAAATAATTACTTCCAGGAGAAGTCTCAAGTTGTGTTTGAAAGGCAAAATAATTATAGTATATACTTCACATTCATTTTTTTTTTTCACATATTTGTAACAATGCAAACTAAATAGTGACCAGAATTTCCATGACTATGATGTATGACGGATGGCCAAGGCCTGCAGGGATGATAAATAGAGGTGTATACTGCTGGGGATATACGCAGGTGTGTGTGAAAGAGAACTAAGTCCTTATCCCACACAGCTAAAGTCCATACATCATTTAAAAAAATGAAAAATCAAAAACCAGCAACAAAAGCATGTTTTCTGAAACTATTCGGGTTAATTTAAAGATAATCTGTTTTATCTGGGATAGGGTAATAGAAGGGGAGGTAGGCCTTACTGAATGAACCTGATTGAACTATTAATCTGTTTAAACTATGTACATGTACCACTCTGATTTGAATGATTATGGAAAAGAGTACTGTAGAATATGGAGTATGACATTTACGTAAGAAAGTGTTATAAAACTACTTGATGTAGTCTTTGTAAAAAATAATTACATACATAGTGTTTTTTCCCTAGGTTTTAGGATTAAAAGTTATTTCATGCAATGGCTCTAAATTATTGACTTATGAATATTGATGTGTTTGGTTTAATATGTTTTTAGGTTCTTTATAAGTATTGGATACTGATGTTATAATTTTCTATAAGCACATATTTCTAAAATGAGTGTTAAGTGAGACATAATCACTTGACAAGAAAACTGATTCTACTGTATACATAAATTGCTTTCTAGAAAGTAAATATTTTAATTAAAATATTCATAAAGGATGTACTGTACTCATATTCCATGTAGAAGTGTATGAAATGAATTATAAGTTTTAACATTACATTACATAATCACTACATTGTAAACAAAAGAACTCACACGAGTGAATTTTAAGAAGTTACCCACTCAAGTCAGATACTCACTGTTGCTCTGTTTTTAATGGCCTCTTCATATAAACCAATAATATCAAAAGTGCCTTTACTTGCCAACAACTTTGCTTTGCAGATCCAAAATTTAGCAAATTTTTCAGCCTCAGGAATGCTGGACAGGATAGTATGTATTTCATTAGAAAATTCACCCTGGAAAAAAGAAAATACCCAGATGTAGTTATTATCATTTCACTGTTACTCTCAGATCTCCTAATATTTATTACAGTAGGTAGTGCAGAAATCATCTGATCATTGACTTTTCTGAACTTTAAAAACATTTCAATTTTACTGAGGTACAATGTACACGTACTACTAATAAAATGCTCCCAATTTTAATTGTATGTTTCAATGTTGTTTTTTCTTTTTTTTTTGAGACAGAGTTTAACTGTTGCCCCTTGGTAGAGTGCTGTGATGTCACAGCTCATAGCAAACTCCAACTTCCTGGCTTACTCGATTCTCTTGCCTCAGGCTCCCAAGTAACTGGGACTACAGGCACCCGCCACAATGCCCGGCTATTTTTTTGTTACAGTTGTTGTTTAGCAGGCCCAGGCTGGGTTTGAACCTGCCAGCCTTGGTGTATGTAGCCAGTGCCTTAACCAGTTAGCTACAGGTATCGAGCCAAGTTTCAATGAGTTTTGACACAGATTGTCAAACAATGACAACTACAACCAAAAAAAAAAAAAAACCTGTGGCGGGTACCTGTAATCCCAGTTACTTGGGAGCCTAAGGCAAGATAATT